TTTTTGAACATCTTTTTTTTTGTATTATTTATATTTCAGTTGGACATTGCAGTTTTATATCCAACCAATTTTAGTCAATACATTTCAAAATTAGTCAATTTTAGTTCAAAATTGTTGCATTTACCTCTTTCACCCAATGTGAATTAATATGCAATTAAATATAGCAAACTCAAATTACAAGAATGAAAAAATATATGTACAAAAACAATTTTGCTATGAAGCCAACAGTTGGTTTCATAGTGGAGTCAACCTTCTATATACAACAAGTAAATCATATCATATTCTCTGATTATTTAAAATAACTACTAATAATTTTATTAATGTAGTTTGATTTACTTATTGTATATAAATGTTGACTTCACTATAGAGCCAACTGTTAGTTTTATAGCAAAAATGGTACGTGCACGATATTATAACAAAAATACTTTTTGATAAAATTGTAAAAATGGCCAAAGTTCTCGAATTAGTACATACTATTAATTTATTAATTAATTCAACTGTAAGTGGGATATCAAATTAACAGCACTTCTTACTTCAAGCCCCTCTTAGTTTAATCAATATATTTCTTAAAATCACAAATAAATTGTTAATATATAGATATTTATACTCATCTATTCAGACATATAATGATATAATAACCACTTTTAATATTTATTATTTTGTTTTTTTTTAAAAAAAATAATATACAACAATAGTATACATGACATACTACAACAATAGTATACATATCTTATTAAATAAAAAAAAAAATACAAAATGAGCTTATCTCTGAATAATTTTATTTTCTGGGGATGTGAAGTAAAAAATTGCAGAGTCAAATGTACTATGCTATTGTATCAGTGACTGATCAAATCCCCTTATGAGTGACACACACCTCAATCACTGAGAGACATTTGAGTGTATTCTAATTGCATGATGGCTATTTTCCTAATCCTTTTTATTATTATTAATTTATTATTATTATTAATTTTATTTATTTATTTAAAATTTAATCCACTCCACCTGGGGGGGGGCCCCCCTGTTTAGGGCAAAAACAAATGTCAAACTCAAATTCCAAATTTGATAAGTAGTAGTAATTAATTTTAGTAGATTAAAAAGAACACAAATCCCAAGTGCCTAATTTTAATTAGGTAGCAGCAGCCTATGTACATACAACTTCTTTTACAGCACAGGGCTTTATTATTCATCATCATCAGCTAGTGAAAAGATTGAGAGAAATATATAAATCTGAAGCATTTATGGTGTGTTATCAGCTTTTCTAGTTTTTTTGATTTATTTTTTTCTTTGGTTTACCAAATTTTGGAGTTTGTCACATTTAATTAGACATGACCACGGGTCGGCCCGGCCCAGCACCGGAACCGGCCCGTATAGACGCGGTTATGAACCGGTCCGGAATTTCTTAAGGGCCGGTTATGGGCCTTCTTTTATCCATTTTTGACCCGCCGGGCTAGCCCGGTTCCGGTTTTTCCGGTGGGTCATAGTTGTTTTTTTTTCAATTTTTTTTTTTTTTTACCCGGCGG